TCTCTCTCTCTCTCTCTCTCTCTCTCTCTCTCTCTCTCTCTATCTATCTATCTTTCTTTCTTTCTTTTCGTATGATAATAAATTCAATAAATCAAATTATTAACTCGTTATGACGTGATAAATTACGTTTAAATTTCGATTTACGTAAATTCCACTCGTTTTTTTTTCTCCTACCCCCCCCCGCCTTATTTTCAATGCAAATAATTTAATTGAGCATGAAAATAGTTACCATTCGTCGCATGACGCATTACCATCAGAAGAATGATCGTAAAGAAATAAAAATATATAGAATGAAAAAAAGAGAGAGAGACAAAGAGAGAGAGAGAGAGAGAGAGAGAGAGAGAGAGAGAGAGTGAGACGCCAAATCACCTGGCCTGAATTGTTCGGAACCATGTCATGTACTCGTTAACTCGGTTATAATAAAAAAAGACGGAAATTAAACTGGCAACAGCCTTGATTTATTCCGCTTCGATGCGGTCCAGATCGGTTTTGTTTGTTGCTAATTGTAAATTATAGTTAATACCTTCTTATTTCAAATTTTATTTTCGTTCTTTTTTGTTTTTTTTTTTTTTTCTTTTTTTTTTTTTTTTTTTTTTTTTTTCTCTTTTCTTTTTTCTTTTTATCTACTCTATTTGTTCTTCCTGGTTATGTTAAATTATTCGTACATACGATTGCTTCCCTATTCATTACATTTCTTTTTTTTATTTTGTATTTCCCCTATTCTTATCGATAAATGGTATCATTAGCATTTCAGCGAACTTACGTAAAGTAACATTTAAGAATACTAATAAGTAAAATAATGCGAAATAAAAAAAACGTTTAACTAAAGTATGTAAAAGAAAAGACTTTTTCAAAATTATCAATAACCGTGTTATCTTATATTGTTATTAACATTTTTCGATACTCAATTTAATTCAAACGTTATATTTTCAATTGTTGAAATATTTCAATAAAAGATGTAGCAATTCTTTTTCTATTTTTTCAAATTTTAATATTAAAATCAATATATCAAGCAAATATTTAAGATGAAAATTAAAATATTAAAATAAATATATTTGATTATAGATTAATTAAAAATCTTCTTTGATTCGTATATTTTTTATAATTCTTTTTTTTTCTTACCATTTAAAATTTTTTCAAATATTTAAAAATACAAACATTGAATTTAAATTCTTGAATCGCAACGTAAGAAACACGACCCTTCGAAGGAATAATTTGATTTACGCTATTTGTAAAAACAAATTGAGAATCCTTTGGTTAGATCAATTAAATATAATTTGTATTTTGTATTATAATATTTATTATTTGATATTGTCATTTTAATTTGTAACAATTATAAATTGTAATAATAATTAGATTCTTTTTCTCGTTCGTTTGTTTTCAGTTGGAATAGCGGTAAGCGTGCAAGAATTGGAACCATTCATATCCTTGGTAGGTGCAATATTTTTTTCCATTTTGGGAATCAGTATACCTGTGATAGTCGAAACAATTTCATGCTGGGATGGCCATTTGGGTACGTTCAAATGGAGACTCATAAAAAATGGTGTACTATTAATTTTTTCAATGATGGCATTGGGATTTGGTTCGTGGATATCTATCAAGCAAATAATTAAGGTTTATCAAAAGTAATTATTTACTTTTTAACAATGACTAATTGCATACTATTTTCTTTTTAATCTATTTGTATTTTTTTTTTTTTTGCGACACAAAATTACTTGCCATATGAAATACACATGTGTGTCTCGTAGAAAGATAATACGAGGAAATGTAGATGATAAGAGAAAAATTAGGAAGTGATAAGGAAACAAATAAAAAAAGTGGAAAGTAAAAATAAGTAAACAAAGCACAACATGTATACAATTACGTCGAGACTTAATTACATTTATAACATTCTACGAATTTTCACGATAAATTATTTACGTCAGAGATAATCTTTATTTATCAGTCATTAATATCGACTGTTACAGAAAATTTTGTATGTTAGTTTAATGTTAATAATTTTTCCTTTCAGTTTATTTTTTCTTCCTATTTGTTTCTTCTTTTGCTTCGTTTTTTTTTTTGTAGATATGTATATTTTATAAATATTATCTTTCTATTTAATGTTTATTAATAATAATATATTGATATGAAGGTTGAATCGTGTTAGTCACAAAAATTAATCAAAATTAGAGATCTCGGAAATGTTTATTTCTTTTTAAATATTTTTATCTTCTTCTTAAATGTCCAATCTCCTTCAATTAGATTCGATCTGCATTTTATGTAAGAAATTTAAAAACAAAATGTGAATTATCCTTTGCCGTATAAATTATTAATACAATTGTATATAAATTGTTTATAAGCATATTAGCGCGTTGAGTAATATTTTTATTTAATTATCAATTAATTATTACGATTTAATAGAAAAATAATTCCATCATCAATATATCGAACAATTAAAATATTTAATATTTTCATTTAATTTCAATTCAACGAACGTGTGAAATATTTTAATAAAAATTATTCATTAAATACAATATTATTGAACGCGCTAATTCTAACAACAACAAAAAATTATACTTTAATGTATATTATATTAAATGTAAATAATTGATTATATGACATCGTTCAATCGACAATTATGTTGGAACGTTATTCGTAAACGACAATGTTTATATTTTTCTTATAAATAGAAATCGGATATTTAAATTAAAAAAAAAAATAAAAAACATGAACGAAATTAACAAATGTAATGAAAAAAGAAATCACGTATAATTGATTGATTATATTTATAACAAAAACTTACGTGTCTTTAACGAAGCAAATATTCAAATCATTGCATATTAGATGATACGAAATTAGAATTAATCGTTGCAATTGCATTAACCGATTGCACTTTTTTTCTTGGGATAGGTAATTTGTAACAAATTAATATCAAAAGAAGCAGAAATACACCGATCGCTGCTGGTAGCCATTGTAAAATTGAGACCAATTTTATGAGTTTATAAGCCGTTAATAACGAGTCGAGTAGTTCTGTATTTTGTACTCCACCCTGTACGACATTTCATTTATTATTATTTATTAGTGGAGCGAAAATATCTTGTTTTGTTTGTTTGTTTCTTTTCTTTTTTTTTTTTTTTTTTTTTTTTTTAACATATTCTTTTGTACAGCTATCGTAGATTAATAATTTTTGTTTGTTTGAATCAGAGCTTCTCAAAACTTTTCTATTTGCTGATCCCAATCATCACTATCATAAATTCGGAAACATTTGAATAAATTATCGATCATTGATCGTTCAATAATTTGGTTAGTTTTGTTGAAATTTTAGCAACGACGTATGAGAAACCCTGAGAAACAAATTATACTTTGAGAAACCTTGATTTAAATGTATTAATGACTTGGATTTATATCGTTAGATCTGTAATGATTATAATCGTTATTATTTGTAATTAAATATTAAATATCGTCTACGAGTTCCTGGAATGAATTATTCGATTTAAATAGTATTATATTGTATATGTTAAACTCGCGAATATAAATTATAAATGTAAGATAAATATGAAGATAAATGTTATTATTTTGTAAATTATCTATTAACAGGGCTGGTTATTATTTTATTTCTGCCCTAATAGAAAATAAAAATATATAAATAAATATAAATAATAATGGATAAGAGAATGAGAGAGAGAATAAATCGAAGATATGAATTATAAATCTATTATATCGTAAATAATTATAATTATTATTTCTAAATAATGAAATCAAACCTCGCTCATCCATATAATGGGAAAGTATCCATCGGTTAAGTTGGCAAGCAAATCGATCGGATACGATGTTACCTTCATATTAACTTGCGATTTTCTGTAACCTTCAAGAGGATTACTGCTAAGTGGGTCGATCAATATGAAACTCGAATGCAATTCCTCGCATGGACTCAAATCTGGTAAATAATCCAAAACTGAGGGATCGGCGTTAAAAAAATGCGGCTCCGATATAAATGTAGGGATTTTCTGTGAAAGAAATCACCATGTTATAAATTTAAATAAGAATTGATAATCGTTGAGATATAATTTTCATCAAAAAAAAATATATATGAAAATAGAAAAATTAAGTAATTTTCGTTCTCGTACGATGTGATTATTCCATTGTGTTTTGTTTTTTTTTTTTTCATTCGAAATTAAAAATAATATTAAATCAAAATAATGACAATTTATATATTAACGCGTGTTACGTTATTATCATCTTACATTTGAAATCTACTATTTATAACATTTACCATACATTTGTTAGCATCCATGAGACCACTAGGGGGACATTTTTTTTCATTTTTAGAAACTAAACAATAACAATCGGATTGATTAGAGCTCCAATTTTCGATCGTGTTAGTGTAACGCCATACATCGTACATTCCCTTAAATTTTTCATTTCTTTGATAGTCTATAAAAAAATGTCTGTAAAAAGAAATATTTTTACACACATGCAATTACGTGTTTAATTTCTTTTCTTTTATTTTTTTTCTCTTTTGTTATATATACGAGGGTGGATTAAAAAGTTTCGAGCCTAACACACAAAAGAGAATGAAATTGATTTTAATTTCAATCTGAAACTTCAAACTTTTTAATTCAGCCGCGTTTATTTCTCACCGACATAGTTCATAAATGTAAATGTAAATACGTTGAGGTGGTTCCTCGTAAGAAGGAAATATTAAACTATCTTTTCCCTTAATAGCGTTGCATTCCTCAGATGACCAATATTTTTGTGCTCGTTTGTTATTAACCGACGTTATTTCTCCTAACAATGTTGGAATTTGTACACCTCTGTTACTTGTCATTGGACCAAACCATGTTGCATTTCTCTTTATCATGAACATACAAATATGAATTTTTTTTTAAAAAGTATACAAATTTAACGAGTATTGAAAAATAATTTCGAACAATTTAAAATGAAAACAATTTCTAATAAAATATAAAATTGAATACCGTGCCTAATATGCTATACATGTAATAATTTTCAACATCGGTGTTCCATAATATTGGTGGTTTTTTTCCCTTTAGCGTCAAACAGATTAATTTCATTTTTTCATGCTTAGTTATATCGCAGAACAAAGGGATACCATCGAAAAGTAAATCCTTTACTTTAGCTTTAACAAAAAGGGGATTCTTTTCAGGGAATAATTTGTCTATTGCTATACCATATTGTTTGAGTAAAGATAACGAAAAACCTGCGATCTATTAATAAAAACACACGTTAATCATTGAATATATTGTATTGAAAATTTGAATCTAACGTATTTCAAATGAAATACAATTACGTTACCGTATTTATAGCACCAAGATAAGCCAGATTTAAAATTACAACTTCATCGTTTTCGGAAAGTTCGCCACTTCGTTCGTCATTGTAGTGATATGTTTTTTTTATATTATAAGTTATTTCATCACGTATCTCGTTTACACTCAGTATTTCTTTTTCAATGATTATGCTATGTAATAAATCGAATTACATAATTAATCGAATTAATAAAATAATGACAAGAAATTAAATACAATTACAAACGGGTAAATGAAATAAATGAATTAATCTACAAAATTTTTTGTTAGAAAAATTTACTCGTAAACGTAAGGGCCACGTTCCATAAGTCTCGGCAGTTCACCTTGCAACACATCATCCGGATTTTCAACATGGAAAATATTTATAGTGTATGTCATTTTTTGAGGGGATGTCCAATAATTGTAAGCTTTTGTATTATCGATTAATAATTTTTCCTATGAAAAAAAAAAACAAATAGATCAATCCTTTTTTTACTGCTTTATTTTTCCTTTTTTTTTTACTATTATAAACTTTGCCATACCGAACGAATTCTTTTTATTAAATTATTATACAAGGTTTGTTTGGTCGTCAATACTAATCCAACAATAATTAAGATAACGGCACACAAAAATAAGATCACGGTGATGCAACCTTTCGTTGATTTACGCATGTTTCTGAATTTCTATTTTATCCTTTTACAAACGTATTGCATATCAACCATACGAGGTTGGTATCATACTAAAGGCATTCAAAATAATGTTGCTATTAAAAAGTAATACGTTCGTACGTTTTTTTCTATGAAATTATAGTCTCGATGATAAATATCGTTGCAGGTTTTTATATAATTTATTAATTCTACGATCGCATGCAACATATAAAAATCGTGTTCTATAATCCTTGCCTAAGAATATTACCACAATTTAGTTATCAATGTTAATCAGTGTTAGGAAATGCATTTGATATTTTCTATTATTTATCCTTCATTTTTATTTTTATCAGATTTGCCAATCTTCTTTTTCGAACGACAAAAATTAATCGATCATAGAAGCTAAATTTTTCTAATTTCAAATTTCAAAGCGCGTTGATATTTTATTTATTTTCGATTCATAATTAAAACTATTATATTTTACTAATTATATATTTTTTATAATATTAGAAATTATTTTTAAATGAGAAACATATATAGTATGGTTATATTCTAATAGAATTGTAAATAATTACAATTATTTTCTAGTGTATAAAAATGTGTGTGCCTTCAGAAATGCATGTATAATATATATTTTCAATAATAGCCATATAAGGTAATGTAATAAAATTGAAGAGGATTGAAGTTAAATCCAACGATGATTACCTGTAACAAAAAGCAAAATATATTAATCATACAATCAAATGATAAAATAGCCTAACATATAAGTGGTCCAATTCACAGATGCACTTTTCATTTGAATTCCCTATTTATTTTTATCCAATCTCTATTTACCGTTTGTAAAATAAAATTCAATTTAAACGCGTGATTTTACATTAAAAAATGTAATTAATAAAGAAACAGGAAAAGTACAAATATTATAATAAGTTACTAATAAAAATATTTTTAAACTACGTTACATACAAAAGAAAAATTGCAAATTTAATAAAATACAATCATAGTAAAATATCTTAAAAAAGTAACAAGAAAAAGAAAATCACTGTAATATTTATTGAACGTTATTCAAACTTCAAAATGTAATAATACGAGAATTTTAATATTTTTGAGTCTAACTAACWAAAAACTTATGCACCTTTTGGACAATTTAGACACAGATTTGGTGTGCCAAGGAGATGGAATGGTCCATCATCTCCAATTACAAYTAMAAATTAWTGACGAGCAAGCAAGTAATATAATAAAATATAAAATATGACTAGAGAACTATTCTCGATAGGTTCGAACTTGATGTTGAACCTTTGAAAATAGCTCAATAGTCTATGTAGTTGCCCACTTG